TTTTTTTTTTTCTCTTTTTTTTTTTTTAACACCGTGAAGCAAATTTGTCATCATTGACGCAACAAATGGTGCCGTGGAGACGCAGCGCCGGCCGCTTCATTAGCTCCTCGCGGCCTCACGACGCCTCACGACGCCTCACGACGCCTCACGCAGGAGTCGCCCGTGAGAATTACACACTCGTTGTAAAACCGCGCGCACAGTAAACGAGACGACGGCGGCGGAGAAGAAGAAGAAGAAGAAATGTGAGAAATGTTCAGGGTTCTGGTCACGCTGACGTCGCAAACCAGGAAGACGTCTGGAAATACTGAGGTGTAAAGTTTGAAGAAATGAAAAAAATTAACAGTTTTGGTCCGTGTACAATCTGTGGATGATTCGTTCATTTGTTTTTCAAAATAAAATAAAAAAAAATAAGGAAGAAAAAAACACAACTTTCTTCATTATTTGTCTCCAAACCAAAATTTAAGAAAAAGAAAAGAAAACTTAATTAAACTAAAAACACTAAAAGACTAAACCAGGACTAATCCCGGACTGAACAAGGACTAAAACAGGTCCAAACGAGGAGTGACCAAGGACTAAACCAGGACTAAACCAGGACTAAACCAGGACTAAAAAACCAGGACTGATCCAAGGACTGAAAGGACTAAACCAGGACTAAACCAGGACTAAACCAGGGCTAAACAGGACTAAAACAGGACTTAAAACGGTTCAAACCAGGACTGATCCAAGGACTGAACCAGGACTAAACCAGGACTAAACAAGACTAAACCAGGACTAAAACAGAACTGAACCAGGACTAAACCAGGTTCAAACCAGGACTGATCCAAGGACTGAACCAGGACTAAACCAGGACTAAACCAGGACTAAACCAGGGCTAAAACAGGACTAAAACAGGATTAAAACAGGTTCAAACCAGGACTGATCCAAGGACTGAACCAGGACTAAACCAGGACTGAAACAGGACTAACACAGGACTAACACAGGACTGAACCAGGACTAAACCAGGTTCAAACCAGGACTGATCCAAGGACTGAACCAGGACTAAACCAGGACTAAACCAGGGCTAAACCAGGACTAAACCAGGTTCAAACCAGGACTGATCCAAGGACTAAACCACAACTAAACTAGGACTAAACCAGGACTAAACAAGACTAAAACAGGACTAAAACAGAACTAACAACAGACTAAAAAAGGACTAAACCAAACTGGTCCCAGGATTAACCAGGACTAAACCAGGACCAAAACAGGACTAAAACAGGTTATATGAATTACGGTCACAGGAGCTGAAATCATCCAAATGATTCTAGTGAAGGTGTGTGGAGCGGTTCTTGTATTACCACGTGACATCACAAGGTGGAACAGAGTGTTTTCTGTTTGTGTTTGTGTGTTAAAAGTGTGAATGAAACAAAAAAAAAAAACACAACTCCAGGTCTGTTTGTGATGAGGAAACAACATTATAACATTGATCAGAAGCTTGAAATTTACCCAGTTACGGGTGTTTTAATCGCTGTTTAAAGTTTAAAGTCAGTCTGTGGAACATTTCAGGCATCGTACGTCTTTAACTGAACCTCCATTTCTCTATTGAATCAGACCAGAGCTTTGTGATGTTGGCAAAAGCAAAGGTAGAGTATCTTTTAGCACGTGGCCCTTGGTCCTTTACAAATTGGGCTAATCCTCGTAACGCCACTGACTCCTCATGTCGAATATAGAAGTGTTTAGTTCGTCTCGGGTCTCACACACGCTCACACACTCGCGCACACGGATTCTGTTGCTCCATCACATCCTGATTAAATGTCACTTAAATGTCACAAAGCTCCAGGCTCTTTCTCTGTGTTTCTACTATTCAACAAATACAAAACGCCGGTCCACGCTCAAGAGGAGACGCGCAAGTTAAAGGTTGTATGGAGGATTTTTTTTGTTTCAAATTGTCAATGATAGATTATAGAGGAGCAGTAGCCTTGTAATTATGATGACCAAAAAAAAGAGAATAAAAATTCATCAACTCTGGACGTGGTGGGGCTAAACATTTGCCAATAGATAACGACACTGCCTCGTTATCTGTGAGCTGACAGGCTGTCAATCAAACTCCCTACGTTTCTAGTGTAACTGACTTGCCTGCGCGCGCCGGTACGTGGTTTTACGTACGACTGTCACGCAGTCCACAGACGCAAGACGCACAGACGCTGTTTACTCCACCAACGCAACAGTTCTTAGCGGCTTTTTTTGACCTATATCTTCCTCGCAGTTCGCACAAAGTTTGTTGCAATGGCGACAAGAATCCAGGAGCAGTTCGCCGCAAAAGAAAGTCCGTTTTTGAGGTCGCTGAAAGAAGAAGACAAGGGGAAAAGCAGCGAAGCCAAACTAAGGTGATTCTTGAAGATTCATTCCAGCGATGGCGCGACTGAAGCAGACGCAGGGTCTAAAGACTGACGCACTGGTCCACAAATTACTCCTGGACAGGAAACTTCTGCTTATTATGGAAACGTACTTTATTTCCAAGAGCGAGACAAACGTTTTTCAGGACACGAAAGCGATATCCTATGTCTGAAAACGTAATTTTCAAGGCAAAGAAAGAGTCCGCTTGCTGCTGCGTGTTGTAGCTAGTTCATTCGCACTGAATCTCCGCGCAACCTTCTCTGCTCCCCTTTCCTGCTCCTGTCCCCGCTGCCCGATCTGCTCTTCAACCCTGCTCCTCACTTCTCCGGGCACGAAATCTCCGCGCACCGCTCCCCTCTCCTCTCTCCTCTCCTCTCTCCTCTGCTCTCGCTCTCCTCTCTCCCTCTCCTCTCTCCTCTCTCCTCCGAAATCTCCGCACCCCTCTCTCCCCCGCTCCTCACTTCTCCGTCTTGCCTAACCAACACTGTAGTTAGTTGTTTACAAGTCATGTGCAGCGCACCGGCTGTAAACAAACCTGTTTCTGGAGGAGGAGGGGAGGAGGCGTTTCTACGTAGGAGCTGTAGGGGAGGGGGGGTGGTTTCACGCATGCGCAACATTTGAAAAAGGACAAACAGTCGCTGGATTTCTCGTTCCTTGGAAAATCCTCTATACAAAATTTAACAGGGACGACGATTCAGAGTTAAACAGGGATGAGTCAAAATGTATGTACTGTGTTTTTTCATGGTTTGGGTGTTTCCTGCGACTTATATATTCAAATTTTCACACTAACAGGCACAAGAGGGCGCTCTAGTCTCCTCCTGTACCGCTGTCACTTGGCTCTACTGCACATGTCTCCTGCAGAAAGAGCCTCTGTTCTGTCTGTATCATGTCAGTCGATCAAACCATTACTTCTGCACCACTGAACAATATCAGGGTTTCACGTGACGTCACAGGGCTACGTTTGTCAGCACGTGAAGTCAGATGGAGGGCAGGAAGTGATCTGACTGGAGGAAAATGCCGATGTGTTGTGTAGTTTACGGCTGTGCCAATTGTTCTAACCGAGAGAAGGAAAAGCGATTTTTTTTAGAGTACTGAATATAGTCGTCCACAAAGATCAGAAATGGGAAAAGCCGACAGAACAACGCCGTAAAAAGTGGATTACAAACCTGTTTGCGGTCGGGAGGAGCAGAATTCACTAATGCTCGTGTCTGCAGTGAACACTTCGACAAAGGTTTGTTACAAAGCTAAATTGTTTTTTGTGGTTTACCTAAACATAAACGAATCATTAACGACTAACGACGTTTGTTGACATTAAATAGTTCAGATAGAGGTTACGGCCGATACACTGCAGTTTTTCCCATAACGTCTATACACATAAAATAAGAGAAACACTCACCCCGGCGAAGACCAAACCATAATCATCATTTAGGCGTTTTGCACCAAGGTTGAGGACCCATCCACTGACAAAAAAAGTTATATGCCTCCAAACTTTTGTACGTCTTCATCTGTTGTCTGGTGTAGAACGATGTCTGAAGAGTTAAATAGTTCGTGATCTCCTCTGACTCGATTGTCGGCAAATCTTTTACTTCAGTTGAAAATTCTCTCATTTTCAATAAGATCAGGGTCACGCCCAATATATTTGTCGACTAACTGCTCGTACTTTTGCCTCGCTACTGGCTCTAAATCCATTCTCCAGAGCCGTGTTTGTCGTGTTTGTCTTCACTTCCTGCCCTCCACCTGAAATTTCGCGCATCATTGTGATCACGTGACTGAAACCCTCCTATTTAACATTTAAACAAACATATAAAGACGACTGAGTAGACTGAACACAAACGTCCCCAAAAAAGAAAGTCATATTTTGCAGATTACAAGCTGCAAGTCATGAAATCTGCAGCTGAAAACGATAATCAAGCAGCAGAAAGAAAGTTTGAAGTGAGTGAGAAACTTGTGACACCAGGAGGATACAACCATGTAACTTTCCTGAAGTCACTGGATGGATGGACAAAGCCTGGACTTCAGTGACACTGAAACCATCCTGTCGGGATTCAGAAAGACCAGAATAATTCTAACTGGAACTGATGCTGAGTCTGACGACAGCGACACAGAAGAGGAAGCGGCGCTCTGTTTACCTCCGGAGGTCGTGGAGGTGTTCAGAAGTGACACCGAGGATGAAGAATTGAATGGATTTAGTGATTTGGAGTGAGATGGAGAGTTTGTTAAACTTGTTCTGTTCTGCTGTTTATGTTATAGTTTATCTGAAGAACTGTTCAGATGTGACGTTAACAGTCTGTTGTTCTCTCTTCTATTGTTTTTACTAGAACTTGACTTTCAAGAGGAAATGTCGGTTCCTGGTCTCTGATTTTATAAAATAAAATTACCTCAAAAAGTGCGACTTATATATGTTTTTTTCTTCAATACAATATTATGCAAAAACAACTAATACAACAGACACAGATACATCAGAATGATCTGCTGTGTTCAGAACAAGACGTGTAGGTCTCCTGTTGCACAAGTGTAATTTAATCCCCAAAATTAGAGCAGCATAAGTATATTAAATAAAGTGGATAATGTAATGCAGTGTAAAAGGTCAAATGATAATATGTAAATGTGATGTAGAGAGTGAGTACCTTGAGGGCGCAGAAGATACACGAGTCCTCCATGCACTTGTGAGTGGTCAGCTGTCGAAAGCTCCTCCTGAAGATGTCCAGGTGCCACAGAACCTGCACAGAAACACCACAAATCCACGTTATCATCAACTACACTCATCTGAGCACTGAGCAAGAGTCAGGGCTGTATGGCGTTTTAAAGCTGTTACACTGAGTCTGAAATACAAAATATAAACCACGTCAGCATGTGAGGGAGCAGTGTTCTTCAGGCAGAACTGAGTCATTACAGACTGTAGTTCTCCAACCAGGGTCACCACAGAGTCACGTGTAGAACTGTCAAGTGACTTTTACACACTATCAATGTGGAACGTCTCTCACTCAGACAGATTATTTGTATTATATAATTAATAGTATTAAATACTATTATATAACAGTATTATATACTATTGTATACTATTATATAATATTATTATACTATTTAAATCTGACTGGTTGAAGCAGAACAAGCCAAAAAAATCTAACTTTTGTCACATCCAGTTAAGAAGCACAGACAACCTCCCTGTCCACACTTGCACCTTCGGTATTTTTTTCATAAACTAAATCATCCGTATTGACGCTAAAATAGTCTGAAGCCATGTTTGTTTTGGTTTGTTCAGGTGCTTCACCTTTGGCTTCTGCACAAACCTCAAACCTGCGACGGGACTGGTCCTCCAGTTCACTAAACCGTACACACGCTCTCCAAGATGAATCTCATGAGTTTGTGAACTCAAAAATATCTCAAGAATTAAAAAAAAAATATAAAAATTAAAAAGGGATTTATTAAACTGAATTTGTAAAACAGTTTTAATAAAAAATATTGTTTGGATACATTTTTGTTACTAAATTGGAAGTTTGGCTTCCTCACACAATGCTAAATTTCCTGCTTATTTGAAGTTCAGTCAGCAAAAAAAAAAAAAAAAAAAAAAACATGAAAAAGCAACTAGGGCTTTTATAGAAAAAATCATTATCACAATTATTTTGGTCAAGATTGAAATCACAATTATACAAACAATTATTTTTAAGTTACACGATGCATTTATTCAGCATGTCTCTCTCAAAAAAAAAAAGAATACACTTTGTTATTGATAATTTTCGCAGAACTGCAGAACTTTCAAAATGAACATAAATTCAGGCTACAAATTAGAACCTTAGAGCAGTTTTGCGATGTATAAAACATAAAATGAATAAAATATACTTTGAACCTGAAATAAGGCAAAAAAAAAACATAAATTTATCCAAAATAAACTATATCCAGCTGTTCTCTAAAACCTTTAATCGTTTCAAAATTCGATTAACTGCGCAGCCTTGAAAGCAACAATTCACCACCAAAACCTCAAATGCAGCCTGTCTGTCCATCCCTAAACCACATCCTCTCCTCCGTGACTCTCCCTCTTTCCCTCCGTCTTCACCATCGCTCAAACCAAAACCAACGAGAACTTTTCACAAGCCACACGAGACACAGTCCGACTAAACAAACAAACAAAAAAACAATTTCACAAACACAGAGGAGATAAAAGTGAGCGGTGAGCGGCGCTTTTACGTCCTGCCCGTCCTGTGGGTGTGAGCGAGCGCCGTATAATTAGAGAAAAGAGCTGCTCTAGCGTTCGCTGTCTGAAAACAAAGATAATATTGACACAACACTGGTCCATAGAGACAGAACCGACCACACAACGCACACAACACACACAACAAACACACACAACACACACAACACACACAACACACACACTGTAAACTCCAGCTCAATATGCAGTGTTGGGAAGGTGACTTTTAAAATGTATTCCCCTACAGATTACAGATTACACACACCAAAATGTAGTTTGTAACTTAATCCATTAAATTACTTAAAGTGAGTAATGTAATCTGAATACTCTGGATTACTTGATTTGCTGTAGAGAAGCAAAGACGAGGAAATCTTCACATAAGATGTTTTGTCTGCTAAAAGAAAATAAAAAGCCCAGACTTTACTGAACCAAATTAAAAATATTATTGATAGAAGAGGAGGAGACACGGTCAGCGCGGCATGGTTCAGTCCTCTTAAATCCTGTTTTAGTCCTCTTTTAGTCCTCTTTTAGTCTTCTTTTAGTCCTCTTTTAGTCCTCTTTTAGTCCTCTTTTAGTCCTCTTTTAGTCCTCTTTTAGTCTTCTTTTAGTCTCTTTTAGTCTTCTTTTAGTCCTCTTTTAGTCTTCTTTTAGTCTTTTTAGTCTTTTTAGTCTTCTTTTAGTCTCTTTTAGTCTTTTTAGTCTCTTTTAGTCTTCTTTTAGTCCTGTTTTAGTCATGTTTTAGTCATGTTTTTGTCTTTTTAGTCTTCTTTTAGTCCTCTTTTAGTCCTCTTTTAGTCTTCTTTTAGTCCTCTTTTAGTCCTCTTTTAGTCTTCTTTTAGTCCTCTTTTAGTCTCTTTTAGTTCTCTTTTAGTCCTCTTTTAGTCTTCTTTTTAGTCCTCTTTTAGTCCTCTTTTAGTCCTTCTTTTAGTCTTCTTTTAGTCTTTTTTAGTCTTCTTTTAGTCCTCTTTTAGTCTTCTTTTAGTCTTCTTTTAGTCCTCTTTTAGTCCTCTTTTAGTCCTCTTTTAGTCTTCTTTTAGTCCTCTTTTAGTCTTTTTAGTCTTCTTTTAGTCTTTCTTTAGTCTTCTTTTAGTCTTTTTTAGTCTCTTTTAGTCTTTTTTAGTCTTCTTTAGTCCTTTTTAGTCCTTTTTAGTCTTCTTTTAGTCCTCTTTTAGTCCTTTTAGTCCTTTTAGTCTCTTTAGTCTTCTTTTAGTCCTGTTTTAGTCCTCTTTTAGTCTTCTTTTAGTCCTCTTTTAGTCCTCTTTTAGTCTTCTTTTAGTCTTCTTTTAGTCCTGTTTTAGTCCTCTTTTAGTCTTCTTTTAGTCCTATTTTAGTTCTCTTTTAGTCTCTTTTAGTCTTCTTTTAGTCCTGTTTTAGTCCTCTTTTAGTCTTCTTTTAGTCCTGTTTTAGTCCTCTTTTAGTCTTCTTTTAGTCTTCTTTTAGTCCTGTTTTAGTCCTCTTTTAGTCTTCTTTTAGTCCTCTTTTAGTCTTCTTTTAGTCCTCTTTTAGTCTCTTTTAGTCCTCTTTTAGTCTTCTTTTAGTCTTCTTTTAGTCCTTCTTTTAGTCCTCTTTTAGTCCTCTTTTAGTTCTCTTTTAGTCCTCTTTTAGTCTTCTTTTAGTCTTCTTTTAGTCCTGTTTTAGTCATGTTTTAGTCATGTTTTTGTCTTCTTTTAGTCTTCTTTTAGTCCTGTTTTAGTCCTCTTTTAGTCTTCTTTAGTCCTTTTAGTCCTCTTTTAGTCCTTTTTTAGTCTCTTTTTAGTCTTCTTTTAGTCCTGTTTTAGTCCTTTTTAGTCTGTTTTAGTCTTCTTTTAGTCTTCATTTAGTCTTCTTTTAGTCCTGTTTTAGTCCTGTTTTAGTCATGTTTTAGTCTGTTTTAGTCTTCTTTTAGTCCTGTTTTAGTCCTGTTTTAGTCTTCTTTTAGTCTTCATTTAGTCTTCTTTTAGTCCTGTTTTAGTCCTGTTTAGACCTGGTTTAGACCTGGTTTAGACCTGGTTTAGACCTGGTTTAGAGATCTGGTTTAGACCTGGTTTAGTCCTGGTTTAGATCTGGTTTAGATCTGGTTTAGTCCTGGTTTAGACCTGGTTTAGCCCAAAATGTGAAAACAGGAAAATACCACCATGTAATCCATTTATTTCAACAAAGTAACTGTAATCCAATTACCACTCACTGAAACAGTAACTGTATCCAAATACAATTACTCATAATTTGTACTCTGATTACTTAACTCCGGTACATGTAATCTGTTACTCCCAAACACTGTCAATATGACAATTAAAAGTCTAATTAAAGCTCCAATGGCTGAACAATTATGCGAAATATATAATATAGTATTTCAGAAGTATAGTGTATAGATTTATGATTTATTTAAAAATTAAGTTCACAGTTCACATTTTAAAGAGTAAATATGACGCTATTTTCTGATCTGACGTGGGTTATAATGTTGTTTTTTCGTCACAAACAGACGAAAGTTGTGTTTTTTTTGTTCACTCGAGTTTAAAGGTTGTATGGAGGATTTTTTTTAGTTTCAAACTGTCAGTGAAAGATTAAAATACCATTACAGAGACGCAGCAGCTTTGTAATTATGATGACCAAAAAAAAAGAACGAAAATCTATCAACTGTGGACGTAGTGAGGCCAGATAAACATCAGCCAATAGAAAACGAGGCTCCCTCATTTTCTATTGGCTGTTGGGTTGTCAATCAAACTCCCTAGTGTAACTGACTCGTCGGGGATTACGTGGTTTACGCAGCGGTTCTTAGAGGCTTTTTCGAACTGTCGCTTCCTCGCATTTCGCACAAAATTTGTCGTGACGGCGGACGAGAATCCACGACCGGTTCGCCGCAAAAGAAAGTCCGTTTTTGAGGTCGCTGAAAGAAGAAGAGAAGAGGAAAAGGAGCGAAGACAAACTGAGGTGATTCTTGGAGATCTCGTCCAGCGATGGCGCGACCGAAGCAGACGAAGGGTCTAAAAACTGACGCGTCGGTCGCTGAATTACTTCTAGACAGGAAACTTCAACAGTGATTCTGAACGCGCACAAGGACTGTCGCTGTATTTCTCTTCCCTTAAAAAAATCCTCTATACAACCTTTAATTAAAGCAAAAATCCTGCGTATTTAGGCTGAGTTTGTCTCTCAAACTGAAAACACTCTAACTCTCTTCTTCACACCTCTTTCTCTCATTTTCTCTCTCTTTCTCTCGCTCTCTCACACACTCATACACACATCTCTCGTTTTCTCTCACTTCCTCTCTCTTCTTCTTCTCTCTCTCATCTCTCTTCTCCCATTTTCTCTCTTTCTATTTCTCTCTCCGTTCTTCTCCCTCGGTCTCTGTCTTTCGCTCAAACATCTGTCTCTCTCTCTCTTCCTTTCTCTTTCTTTCTCCCCGTCTTTTTCTCTGCCCTCTCGTCAATCACTTTCTCTCTCTCTCTTTCTCTTTTTCCTCTCTCTCGTTATCTCTACACTTCTCCCTCGCTCTCTCTCTCACCTCTCTTTCCTCTCTTCAATCACTTTCTCTCTCTATTCCTCTCTCTCCCACGT